CAATTGAAGGTTAAGCTTTAAAACAATGTTGATCGTTCCCATGGAATATTTTTGACTTTAATGGTATTAGTCATGATATGAATCTCAAGGTATGAACGAGGAGAGATGAGAGACTTATATGCTTCCCAAATTTCTTCAAAAGGTAATGTTATACCTGACTGTTTCCAAATGAGTTCAATATCATAGCGTGAGAAACCTTGAAAGATAACGAAGTCAGTTATGAGACGTTTTATGTTTAAAGCTAAAAACCTCCATGTTTGCATAAGTATTGCTACAGTTAAGTGGTAATGTCTGACTTTAGTTATGATGTTAGCTAATGGTGAGTCTGGTTTTGACACTAAACCTTTTCCGGCGAAGTCGTCACAAACGAGCAGAGTGTTTGAAGGATACTTTTTGAAGGGGTATTTTGAAAGTTTTGATAGAATGTAGTTTGTAAGTCGTTTCATATCGTAAACTCCTGAGTATTGACGTAAGTGGTGTTTGTCAATAATTCTTTCCATCTCCTCAGAAGTCTTTTGCATTCCTGACTGTATGAACTCTACGATGGCATAATATTTCCTCTTACGTCGAATGTAACGTTGAAGAAATTCAATGAGTTCACTGTCTGGAACTTTAACGACAGAGGCTTGAACTTTTGACATAAATGTTTTCGCTGTTGAATCCATAGAGTCTGAAGTTGCTGATATAATGATTTGGTCATAGTAAGAGTCGTTTCCTAAACGCTCTGTTATGAGTATATGACGAATGAGGTTAAATGTCTTACCTGAACCCATCTTTCCACAATAGAAATACACACCATTTGAACAGAATTCATAATCTTTGCTGAAAGGAAGAATAAGAGAAGAGTTAAGTTTGTCTGTAGTTTCATTCATGTCTTCATCTACGTCATGTATTAAATGCTTCATTTTATCTCCATTAAAAATGCAAGTCAGAAATATTCAGAACATAGCACCGAGTCTAACTGACAAGAGTATAAAGATATACTATGAACATGTTATGATGAAACCAACCAAAATTCAAGAAAGTCAGTATACTTATGAATATCCAAGACACTGGGTAGAGTATGTAGGAGGTGAGAAAGCTATTGAAATCAGACAGGTTCGAAGTATTCCAGCAGGAAGAACAATATTATTGAAGAACTTTAATGTTTTGAGATATAATGATGAAACAAAGAAGCAAGATAGTTTTCCTGTTGCTGTGTATGTGAACCTAGACACTGGAGATGACATGAAAGTTTTTAATACAAAGCTTCAAACGGTATTGAAAGAACAACTTATAGCAGAAGGACACCCATTACCTTCAGAAGTTACCATAGCATATAATTTTGAAACAAATACAATAGATTTTAAAATCGTCTCTGCAAAGAAGTCAGGTTTTACATTTAATGAAGCAGATGTATATTCGAATGAAAACTTCAAAGCTATTGCATGGTTAGATAATGACGATTGCTTTAAGAAAATCTTTAAATTCAGTGACTCAAAGATGTCAATAGATGACCTTCGTGGAATGTTACCATCGACGTTTACAGTAGAAGGTTCAGCAGGATTGCTTACAAGATTGTCAATTGGTGGTATTTGGTCTCGTGAGAACATTGTTATAAAATCCAGTATAAGTGAATTTGCTGAAGAATCTATATTATGTCTTTCAAACTACATGTATTCGCCGCCAAAGCATTATAGTATAACAAACTTTGTCAGTAAGTTTAACATAAGACTTGTCGAACCTTCTTCAATGAAAGATGTTGTGCTACCTAAAGATGGAAAGGATGGACTCATTATTGAGATGATTTTAATAGCATATTAAATGAGTTTGTTCTTGAAGGTCATTCATGATGAAATAACTGTTGTAGAAGATGTTAGCAATTGTTCAGACATTTTGAAGCGTATAGATGAGATAAGAAAGAAGTTAGATAGACCGCAAAGCGGTGAGGGCGAAGCCCGTGAGAATGTTTATGTTTCATTGACTTTCTCCAGTAACGAGAACTTTTATGAGATAATATTGAAGAGAGATGATTTTAATATGGTGTAAATGGTAGCTTGGGCAGCTTTAGGCGCAATGGGAACAAAAGCATTAGCATTTGGAGCAAAAGCACTTGGAGCTTATGACGCAGTAAATAAAATGAGTGGAGGAAGGGTTTCGAAGACATTAGATGCAAATAAAGGAAAGATTGGAGGCTGGGTTGCAAAGAAGTTAAGATTAAATAAAATGGGGCTCATAAATAAAGCATCCAATTTGGTTGCGACTGAGTCAGAAAATGCTTTAGGAAAGGACGATGAGTTTGCAAAACACGCAAAAGACTTTAATGACCAGATGAAAGGTGAAACAATGCATTTAAATAGAGTCGATGGAACTAAAGAAAATGTTTCTTCTCCACCAGTAGTTCTTCCGTATGGTCCCTATGGAATGTATGGAAACCCTTACGAAAGACCATTTGACCCATTGACTGGTGGAAGTAACTGGTATTATTACGGCCGAAGAAGAAAGACAGTCAAGTTGGAGACAGACGTGAAGAAAGCAACTAAAAAGAAACCAAGGAAGAGAGTTATAAAGCAATGAATTCAACAGGGTGAAAAAAGAGGTGAGATCTCACCACTTCACCTAAATTTATTTTTGTGCTATGTTTTCATACGTGTGAGGGTGGTGATATCATTTATTTTTAAGTTTATTTTTATATAAATGACAGAACAAAAATATAACATATCTACTCAACAGGAATGAGACCCTTACTGACTATGTATTCGTTTAATGCTTGATGAAAACAATGGTACATATTATCGTATGGGTATACACAGCGTCTGTTTCCATCGTCGTCGTATATGTAGAGCTCAAATCCAGTCCAACCTTCTTTTGTACAATATGTAGCTTTATTTAAGTATGCATTTATGTAGATAAGGCAATTTTCTTCATCGCTCCAGAAATAATTTTTGTTCTTTGTTGAAATAGTTTTCGTTCCTCTGCGACCATAAGGAATGTATGCACTGAACTTTGCGTCATAAGGGATTGTAATATATTCAGGGTTTCTTTCATCGTCAATGGGTCTGTCTTTGTTAAAATGCATGTTTCTCAGTTTTACTTGAGTTTTGAATAGTTCACGGAAACGTTCTGGGAAAGAGTCATAGTAAATGTAGTCGGACATGTCTTTGTAATGAAATAAAAAATTTAAAAAAAAATAAAAATAAGGTTATTTTTTATTTAGTGAGGACGGTAGTGAATTCGTTAGTGAGTTCGTTAGTGAAGTCGTTTATGTGTCAGATAGTTTTGTAAATATTTAAGGTTAAGTTGGTGTTTGTGTTTGTGTTGTAAAATATACGTTACCAGTTTCGTAAAGTGTCAAAACCGCTAAGTGGTGTACGGAGGCGCGCAGTGCCACAGTACACAACTTAGGGATACTAACTAAGCGATCGGCTTAGTTCGAAGATTTTGATTCAAATCTTTGCTGATCTGTAATTCGCGGAAGCCGCGAGCGAATCGAGCGGCTTAGGTCTAAGATTTTGATTCAAATCTTTGCTTATATTCCTTAAATTCTTTATGAAACTCGCAACAGTTCCATAAAAAATTTTAAATTCTAAACTGTCGAAATTACCGATCGGTAATCACACCCTTCACAGGCGTGTTACTTTTTACAGGCGTGTCACTTTTAGCTAAAATTACCCCTACTCGCCTATCAATACCCTTTTACGATTATTGCTACTTTTTCGAAATAAAAGTAAAAACAAATTTATACTAATTTACTTCAAAATACAAAAGTATTTGACAGCTAAAATTAGTTACTTTAGCAAGCCTATCAATACCCTTTTACGATTATTGCTACTTTTTCGAAATAAAAGTAAAAACAAATTTATACTAATTTACTTCAAAATACAAAAGTATTTGACAGCTAAAATTAGTTACTTTAGCAAGCCTATCAATACCCTTTTACGATTATTGCTACTTTTTCGAAATAAAATAAATTTATTATCAAAAACCTTTTTTTTCTTAGTAAAAATAAACGAAATTTTTTACCTTATGAACTTTTGATGGAAATATGCAAATTTAAAATAATAAAGAAAGCCGCGAGCGAAGCGATCGGCTTAGTTCGAAGATTTTGATTCAAATCTTTGCTGATCTGTAATTCGCGGAAGCCGCGAGCGAATCGAGCGGCTTAGGTCTAAGATTTTGATTCAAATCTTTGCTTATATTCCTTAAATTCTTTATGAAACTCGCAACAGTTCCATAAAAAATTTTAAATTCTAAACTGTCGAAATTACCGATCGGTAATCACACCCTTCACAGGCGTGTTACTTTTTACAGGCGTGCCGCTTTTAGCTAAAATTACCCCTACTCAAAGAAGTTGTAACAACTCTAATTTGACAACCTCTTAATTTTTTGAACACAAGGATCATTTAACAACCACCATTTAGTCACCTTGGTCAATATGATACAATATCAAGATGACTACACATAAAATCCTTTATATGGGCACTCAATGGGAAAAAAGTGCTTTGACCTAAAAAGTGACATATTTTTTTTATTGTCCAGATTGGACAAACAATCGAGAGTATTTTTTACTAATTTAATAACCTAAGCATGTGCAGAAATTTTTATAATGATGTGTCTCATAAAAGTTATGCTTCTTCTAAAGTTAACTTTTTAATTTTTTTTGCATTTATAAACAAAAACGTCAGAACTCAAAGATCCGAGAGACCAAATTATTCTACTATTGAAAGAAATAATGCTTAGAATTATCGGATGAACAATGAAGATGAAAACGAATATCATTAAGAAAAATGTAATATTTTGAAGATTTTTTCAAATGAGCTATGTATATGTTAGATCCATTAATATCAAATGGAAACTCAATCTTGGAAGATCTTGGAATAGGAAGAATATTTTAAATTTGGGATTTTCCTCGGATTACAAGATATTGGAGACATCTATTTTTGCCACAAATGCAATTGCTCATTGTTTCTAATTCCAGGAATAAGTTTATTAATTTTACATCATAGATGTTTTATTTAATATTAATGATTGATATAAGAGTTAAGAATTGATTTGATTGAAGAACCAGTCAAAAATGGTGCCCACTTCTTGGCTTCTTCATCTGTGAATATTTTGAGTGGATGCCCTTCAGTATTAAATACCCATTCTGCTGGAGAAATTAAACTTGTATCACTGAAGGTTAAGTACAGGTATTTCAAAGTCTCAGCAAGGAAATAAGAGTCTTGCGCTGTACTTGAGTATTTATCCTTTGATTCAACGTTATGGATCCAAGCAAAACCATTTTCCTTCCTTGCGTACGTGTTAATTGCTTGGAACATCTTCCATGAATAATCTCTAAATTTAGGCAATCCAGTGAATCTGAACATTACACATTCAGATTCGACAGATTCTGGTCTAAGTTTGTAAGTAGGATCACTGGCTCTGAAGTCTCGGTCTTTAGATTGAACGAAATCCATGAATTCTGGTCCAACACCTGTTTGCGTTGATGCATATGAATAATAGTAACCAGTGGCCAATTCATCTGCTAGTTTTAGATCTTCCGCTGCACCTGGATTATCTTTTACCGTTCCTACAGCTAACATTCCACCTGCAAATGTTGCAAGATGCTCTTGTCTCGGAGATGCTCGGCCTCCTCCATAACTAATACCAAGGCCTGTATAATTACTCTTTCCTGAATGAATTATGAGCTTTTCTTTGATATCTCTTGCAATTTCTAGATATTTATTCAAGAAAATTTTCGCGTAGCCACGGGTCATTACATAGATCTTGATAATATACTCGAAGTAAGAGTCTGTACCTCCTCCAACGTGTAATTGGCCACCAGAGGAGTATGGGTCGCTTATTAATCCATGACCTGCTGTATTTCGCCAAATAATATTGTATGTTTTCATAGCAAGATTAATGTATTTTGGATCCCCTGTTACCATTGATAGAGCAATGAACTCTAATTGATATGTTGAAGTATCAACAAGACTTGTGCCACCATTTGAAGTTCTTCTGGCAGTAAGCTTACCACCAAAATAAGATAAGGCAATACCGCCTCCAAAGATTCCTCCCTCCATGAGAGGATAAACAGCATCAGCACATTCAACAGCTCTTTTCAAGAATATTTCGTCGCCAGTCAATTGATATGTTGATACGAAGCCACCAACAAATCTTATGAGGAATTCAAATAAAGACCATGATCCAGAAGGCTTAAAATCATTTGCTATATAATCACGAGCGGCTTTGAATTCTTCTGTTAGATTCATAATATATAATGTTGAAAGGGAATCAACAATCGTTAGTCCTGCATGTAATGTGTTGGAGCAACTTCTTGAATGAGGAACAAATTCATCTTGTCCCCAACAATACTTCCTATAAGGAGTCCATGCATGCATAAAAGCTTCTTTAACAGCTTCGGCCTTTTCTTTATCGGCTGGAATTCTCGGAAAACTTCTGTCATAAAGCAGATTTGTTTTAGTGTCTGAAATAATTGGAAAATAAAATGTTTTTGATGGATTTTCAATGGCTTCTCTTGGTATATCTTTTGGAATGTCATACATTGATGAGTTAGAGGATAACATATAACCTGAAAAATCGATATCAGAGACCAATAACAATAAAACAAGTATCATCCCAGGTGCCAAAAGACCTAAAATCATAATAAGAATCGAATTTCTATTCATCGAGGGTGACATTGCTCTCATCCAAATACAAAAGTGATTTTTTTTGAAAAATATTCACAATATTTTTATATTACAGAATGAGATTATTTTTTGTCGCATATTTGCGCATATTATGACACTTTTCTGACATTTTTCTATAAATTGAGAGCAAAAGTATTCAAAATTTTGTCAAAATATGCGCAAAATTGAGAACTGCGCATATTATGACACACAATTATTTTTGTCCGTTAATGGAAACAAAATCTCTATGCATTGCTTTTCTTCATGTCTTTCGCCTAAAGGTATGTTTAAAACAATATGTATGAGATACGTATTATAAAAGATTTGAAAAACTCACATATTATTATCAAATTTTCAAATTTTTATCGAGAAAATATTGAAATCAAGACGAAAAAATATTGTTCATAACAAAATATTATAAAGATCTAGCATCTACAAGAGTTTCAAAGAAAAACAACCAACTTAAATTTTCTACTTCAAAAATAAGAACATCTTTCAAGTGTGACAAGCAAAAAAAGAATACATACGAATAGTTCAATTTGAAATGAATGATATGTTTATGTATAAGCTAGATTTACCTACATTCGATAATTGCTAAACGTTCATAACTTTGCGAGATATTAAAGAGAATTTATCGCTATTTACGTTATTTTCGACAATATATCAATATACGGCGATTGTTAAGTGAGTAACTGAGGAAAAAATAAAAGATTTGATTAATCTGAAGATCAAAAGAAGATAACAAGAGAAAAATATGAATAAATAAATGAATAATGAATAGAAAAAAGAAAGAAGAAATTGAAGATGATTAAATGAAGTTATTATAGGAAAATTAAAAAATATTACTAAAATTAAAGATATCTGACATGTTTACATATCTAATAATAATATATTTGTCATTTAAATCTATTTGAATCATAGTAAACTATGATTGTCGTATGATTTAAAAGAATCTCTAAATATCAAGTCAATTTCTTATAAAATTGTTATCCATCTCTTACATTTTTTCATAATTACTACCTATATTATCAATCTCAACGATGACAATATCTTGTTATCAATATATTAAATTTAATTTATAACTTAACATTCAATGTTTCCATCTATTCTTTCCATATATTAAATTCTAAAAACACTTTAACAATTGTTCAATAAACACAATATTTATAACATTTAAAAATATTTCAATTGAATACATCTGATTCATTTAATGTAAATTCTGTGATTTTTCCATCTTCATCATTTTCTAAGTTTATTTTAATTGAATCATTTATCTCTGAATCATTCCTGTTCATAAATTTCTCAATTTCAATATCACGATAATCAATATCTCCTGGATGAAATTGATTTTTGTATTTGTCAATTTCTTCTTTTGGTATTTCTGAAATTTCGAGATTAAAATTTCTTTCAAAAGTAAATAATTCTTCATTAATTTTAGTTAACGAGATATAGTACGATTTTTTATGATCATACTGGTTTCGTTGATTGGTTAAATATCTATGAGCGATTACTGTATCAACTTGAAGTAAAGTATATATCATATGGAAAATTGTTGGATGTGGATATATTATGTGTGAGTTCAGTACCTTGTTAAATGATTCCACGCCATTATTCGAAAAAAACATATCCTTCACATTCATTTTATTTATTTCTTCGTATTTATATTTCCATGTGCGAAGGAAATAAGCGGCAAATTTTAAAGTATCTTTAATTAATTCTAACTTGGAACAGATAAGTTTAAAAACTGAATTAGGAACGAATGGGCACCCACATAATAATTTTAATAAAGATTTGGATGCATGATCATCTTGATTGCACAACTTCTTAAAGTTCTTTACAAGCGCAGCAATGTAATGAAATATGCATCCAGTAAGAACTGTCTCTTTGCTGATCTTTTCTTTGATAGAGTTCATCAAAGCTGCTTCAAAATCTGTTGTGATGATGGAAAATTGATTAAGACCAATTTTAATCTGTTCATGTGTTAACATCATATTGAAAACAGTATTATAATCATCAGCACTTCTTCCCGTCATCAAAACATGTAGAAAAGGAGATATAAATTTGTAGCATTATCAAATACCAAGAAATTCAATAATTGACCATTTGAGAGATTTATTGGTACCACTTTGAATGTACCATCTATGAACAAATGTTTTAAAGTTCGTGCACGATTAATGAATAAAGGCAATCCAAAAAAGTAAAACTTAGAATCATCAATATTGGAATAAATTTTTGTAATATAGAAATTTTGATTGTTATAATGTTCAAGTAATTTTTTAATCAACTCATCTTCGTTCATTTTCATTTTTGGTTTAATTTCCTGGTACAACCTTCTGATAACATCAGACGATATTTCAATAATATCATCGTGAGATTCGTTATATTCCAACACAAGCTGATTTGCAAATGCTATTACCTGACTTAATGAAACAATAGGATTAACCTGAATGAAATTTTGTATCTCACTCTCAAGTTCTAATTTATTTTGGTTAGTACCATCAATAATTGAGATTTTGTATGTTTTGGACATCGATGTGGAGGATTAATTTCACAAACTTCAGCTTTTTTGCCTGTATTTGCTGGGAACAATGTAACAAGTTGAGAATAAGAACATCTTTTCTTTTTGGCGCAATAATAAACAATTTCCAATCGATCAATTTTTGAATAATATATTTGAAAGCGAATAGGGATCCCTTCTGGATATATAACACTTTGATATTTCAATTTATCTGAATCAGATATTTGAAAAGTATGATATGTTCTTAGAATGTTTTTTATTCTTATTTTACATTTGTCTTGCTCATCTTGATTCATGATAATATAATTAGGAACACATTGTTTGCATGTATCTTCTGTAATGGCAGCTTTTTGGACTTTTGATTTAGTTTTTTGATATTGAAATGCATTTTGAATTAGAATGTTTGAATTGAGTCGATCATCAATGGGAAGATTATCAGTAAAATGAGTAATGTTTGAAAGTGATGGCAATGGAACTGTACTATCTACAGTTGGATGATTAGAAACAATCCTTTGTACGGAACTCTGATTTGCAGCAATTGGAGGATTAGAAACAATCCTTTGTACGGAACTCTGATTTGCAGAAGTTGGAGGATTTGAAGGTATCCTAAAAATTGCCGTTCGATTAATTCTTTTAGAACGAGAAGGTGAAATTTGAACATTTCCATGAAGATTTATCAAATTTTGATTTCTTTCAATGGATTGTAAACTTCTTTCTTGATTTGTCAAATTTTGATTTCTTTCAATGGATTGTAAACTTCTTTCTGATTTGTCAAATTTTGATTTCTTTCAATGGATTGTAAACTTCTTTCTTGATTTGTCAAATTTTGATTTCTTTCAATGGATTGTAAACTTCTTTCTGGATTTGTCAAATTTTGATTTCTTTCAATGGATTGTAAACTTCTTTCTTGATTTGTCAAATTTTGATTTCTTTCAATGGATTGTAAACTTCTTTCTTGATTTGTCAAATTTTGATTTCTTTCAATGGATTGTAAACTTCTTTCTTGATTTGTCAAATTTTGATTTCTTTCAATGGATTGTAAACTTCTTTCTTGATTTGTCAAATTTTGATTTCTTTCAATGGATTGTAAACTTCTTTCTTGATTTGTCAAATTTTGATTTCTTTCAATGGATTGTAAACTTCTTTCTTGATTTGTCAAATTTTGATTTCTTTCAATGGATTGTAAACTTCTTTCTGGATTTGTCAAATTTTGATTTCTTTCAATGGATTGTAAACTTCTTTCTTGATTTGTCAAATTTTGATTTCTTTCAATGGATTGTAAACTTCTTTCTGGATTTGTCAAATTTTGATTTCTTTCAATGGATTGTAAACTTCTTTCTTGATTTGTCAAATTTTGATTTCTTTCAATGGATTGTAAACTTCTTTCTTGATTTGTCAAATTTTGATTTCTTTCAATGGATTGTAAACTTCTTTCTTGATTTGTCAAATTTTGATTTCTTTCAATGGATTGTAAACTTCTTTCTTGATTTGTCAAATTTTGATTTCTTTCAATGGATTGTAAACTTCTTTCTTGATTTGTCAAATTTTGATTTCTTTCAATGGATTGTAAACTTCTTTCTTGATTTGTCAAATTTTGATTTCTTTCAATGGATTGTAAACTTCTTTCTTGATTTGTCAAATTTTGATTTCTTTCAATGGATTGTAAACTTCTTTCTTGATTTGTCAAATTTTGATTTCTTTCAATGGATTGTAAACTTCTTTCTTGATTTGTCAAATTTTGATTTCTTTCAATGGATTGTAAACTTCTTTCTTGATTTGTCAAATTTTGATTTCTTTCAATGGATTGTAAACTTCTTTCTTGATTTGTCAAATTTTGATTTCTTTCAATGGATTGTAAACTTCTTTCTTGATTTGTCAAATTTTGATTTCTTTCAATGGATTGTAAACTTCTTTCTTGATTTGTCAAATTTTGATTTCTTTCAATGGATTGTAAACTTCTTTCTTGATTTGTCAAATTTTGATTTCTTTCAATGGATTGTAAACTTCTTTCTTGATTTGTCAAATTTTGATTTCTTTCAATGGATTGTAAACTTCTTTCTTGATTTGTCAAATTTTGATTTCTTTCAATGGATTGTAAACTTCTTTCTTGATTTGTCAAATTTTGATTTTTCAATGGATTGTAAACTTCTTTCTTGATTTGTCAAATTTTGATTTCTTTCAATGGATTGTAAACTTCTTTCTTGATTTGTCAAATTTTGATTTCTTTCAATGGATTGTAAACTTCTTTCTTGATTTGTCAAATTTTGATTTCTTTCAATGGATTGTAAACTTCTTTCTTGATTTGTCAAATTTTGATTTCTTTCAATGGATTGTAAACTTCTTTCTTGATTTGTCAAATTTTGATTTCTTTCAATGGATTGTAAACTTCTTTCTTGATTTGTCAAATTTTGATTTCTTTCAATGGATTGTAAACTTCTTTCTTGATTTGTCAAATTTTGATTTCTTTCAATGGATTGTAAACTTCTTTCTTGATTTGTCAAATTTTGATTTCTTTCAATGGATTGTAAACTTCTTTCTTGATTTGTCAAATTTTGATTTCTTTCAATGGATTGTAAACTTCTTTCTTGATTTGTCAAATTTTGATTTCTTTCAATGGATTGTAATCTTCTTTCTTGATTCCTATCTTTATTTTGTAATATATTATTACAACTTTCATTTTCAAACTCAAATTCATTAAATGGTTCTTCTTGTTCAGATTGTTTTTGACTGTTTTCCGACGAATGTTTTTCAATAAATTTTAATATTTGGCATTCCGTATTTTTCAATTCTGCCAATGATGATGGTGATTCATCAGAATATCCTAATGGCCATTTATCTTCCATTGATTTTGTATCACCATTATCATTATCAGCAACATCTATAGTAGCATCTTTACTTTCCGATTCCATTTTCTTACATTCTGTTCCATTTTCTTTGGATTCCTCCTCTTCTGACTCATCCTCCGATTTTTGATCAAAATTAAAGTTTAAAATTTTTAATGCTGCTTGTAAATTACTTTTCGTTATAATAAGTGCTATTTTTGCAACATTTTTGTCGAATCCCATTGATGTTAATGAATTATATTCTTGTGATTTACTAATTTTTAATTGATACATATCAAAAAATGGCAAATTGAAAACATCTGTGGATGGATCAACATTTACAACCTTTAAATCAATATCATTGAAACATTTAATTATATCAACTGAATGAAATTCCCTTCTTTTATATTTAATAACAAAAGAATATAAATTCAGATTGAATTTCCTTGCTATATAAAGGTATAAACTTAAACAATGAACATCTTGGTTAGAATGAAGTAGAATTACATTCTTTTGATATCTAATTGTTAATTTCATAAAAAAGTAATTTTCAGATTTAAAAAAGTGAAAACCTTATTTATTAATAATTATTTAATTTGTTAATTAGAAAAAGAATTAATGAAAAACGATGTAATTAAAATAGTTAAAAGATGATGAAACGATGAATAACAATGAAATTAGAAATATTACGATGCGATAGTATTAATATAGTAAAATCGAGTATGAGACAAAAGAATTTTATAAATTAAATTTAATATATTGATAACAAGATATTGTCATCGTTGAGATTGATAATATAGGTAGTAATTATGAAAAAATGTAAGAGATGGATAACAATTTTATAAGAAATTGACTTGATATTTAGAGATTCTTTTAAATCATACGACAATCATAGTTTACTATGATTCAAAATATATTTAAATGACAAATATATTATTATTAGATATGTAAACATGTCAGATATCTTTAATTTTAGTAAGCAAATTTAGAGATTCTTTTAAATCATACAACAATCATAGTTTACTATGATTCAAAATAGATTTAAATGACAAATATATTATTATTAGATATGTAAACATGTCAGATATCTTTAATTTTAGTAATATTTTTTAATTTTCCTATAATAACTTCATTTAATCATCTTCAATGTTCTTCTTTCTTTTTTCTATTCATTATTCATTTATTTATTCATATTTTTCTCTTGTTATCTTCTTTTGATCTTCAGATTAATCAAATCTTTTATTTTTTCCTCAGTTACTCACTTAACAATCGCCGTATATTGATATATTGTCGAAAATAACGTAAATAGCGATAAATTCTCTTTAATATCTCGCAAAGTTATGAACGTTTAGCAATTATCGAATGTAGGTAAATCTAGCTTATACATAAACATATCATTCATTTCAAATTGAACTATTCGTATGTATTCTTTTTTTGCTTGTCACACTTGAAAGATGTTCTTATTTTTGAAGTAGAAAATTTAAGTTGGTTGTTTTTCTTTGAAACTCTTGTAGATGCTAGATCTTTATAATATTTTGTTATGAACAATATTTTTTCGTCTTGATTTCAATATTTTCTCGATAAAAATTTGAAAATTTGATAATAATATGTGAGTTTTTCAAATCTTTTATAATACGTATCTCATACATATTGTTTTAAACATACCTTTAGGCGAAAGACATGAAGAAAAGCAATGCATAGAGATTTTGTTTCCATTAACGGACAAAAATAATTGTGTGTCATAATATGCGCAGTTCTCAATTTTGCGCATATTTTGACAAAATTTTGAATACTTTTGCTCTCAATTTATAGAAAAATGTCAGAAAAAGTGTCATAATATGCGCAAATATGCGACAAAAAATAATCTCTTACAGAATAAGTCAGATGTCTTGTTTCAATCAATGAACGATTATTTTCTGTCACAAAAATTGAAAGAAACAGAAAAATTGAATGGAGTGAGAAACAGTTTTCAATTTGGCTCATAATATGAAATTCACAAGTCAGATTGTGAGCGAAACAAGATTTGTCTTGCAAATTTTGTAAAGCTCACAATACGGCTCGTGAATTTCATATTATGAGACATCATTTATATGTTTTAAAGTTGAATGCATTTTTTTAAGAATTTGACACAATTCTCTTCACAAACTCTCATGTCCATAATTGAATACTTTATAAGATGTAACTTATTTACTCAATACATACATGATCAGAATAGTTTTGTAACATCATCTTTATTTACTTTGTATTTAAAGTAAAATCAAAATTTCATTTTAAAATGACACTCAATTATATTTTTTAATGTTCTATACTCGACAAAGACATTATATGAATAATATAGTAATTTCATCAATTCTTATTGAATTTTATAGTTAAATATTCTGTATGCTTCAATAGGCCAATTCATGTGGGCTCTAGTGGTAAATTCACACAAATAATATCTCGGAAAAAATTATAGATATTATTTTACATTTTTATATTTGAATTTTTATAGTAAAATTTAAAGCTTCAAATATACTCACTTATTTAAGATATTTATGTTAAATAGGAAATCAATAGGAGACAAAGAGTTTTATCAAAATTTACCACTAAAGTTATCAAAATTCACCCTCCCCACAAAACATTTAAATGAAATCACGACATCCTGAAAAGAATATATTTAGTGCTATTTATTTGAAAAAAAAACTATTGATTATCATGATTATTGTCCATCTTTTAAATAAAGATTGTTTTTGGATTCATAAATTCATTTATTATTCGTTCATACAAACATGATAACACTATCACGTGTAATGTAAATACTTCATAATATTTAGGAAAATATTTCCAAGAAGCTTGTTTTGAAGATTATCGTGAATTTTAAAGGATAATCAGACTATCATTCATTTCGAGATATATCTTAAATCAATTTAACACAATTTACTAAGATGAATCATCTTTGGCTCATAATGAGACTTCAAATTAGTGAATCAGCCTCATAATTTCAAACTCATAGAAAACGAATTGCAATTAATCAAAATTTTCAAGATAAACAAAATGTGAATTAGTTAATTGAATAAGGATGTCATAATCTCGTTATCTGACTGGTAATAATCATTCTAATCAATGATTAAGATTTTCATGAATATATTGAAGATTTTTAGGAATGAAAGAGTTATAGCAAGCCTACTATATAATCTTCATATCTCCTATTTTTTTTGAATTTAATGTTTTATTGAACAAAACAACACCAAAAGCAAAATATGGATAAATGTTAAACACCCACTTAGAAGAAGAGGGGTATGTATTTATTTACTGAATATTGGATGAGTGTCATAGCTTTCTTCCATTCAAGACCATTTGAATCAAAATTTATCACTTATAAATGTGCTGCTGCCTTTTGCGTTATAATCAAAATAAAAACAAATTTTTAAAGTAAATAGTGAAAATCAAGTAATAACCAGAAAATTAAAATATTACTGTATGAATTGTCACTTTGAATCTTGTAGTTCAACAATTGAAAACGACCTCGATTACATTATTTTATGAATCCGAAAAAGTGACAAAATTTTTATTTGCCCATTTGTTTTTACAATCGGATAAAATCAGCATTTTACGTATAATCCATAATGATAATGCCCCAAATGATGCCTGGAACATATATTTTGAAGGGGATTGCTCAAATGCTGTGCATAATCTGATGAATCCGAATTTTTCTCTTTCAAATGATGAGTTATTCATATTCCATTGCATGTTTCAGGATTATACTGATTCTATAATTTATTTAGAAAAAATTGAATATAAAAAAATTATGCATTCTGAATGTTTCTTTGATAATTGCAGTTCGGCTTTTGGAAATGTGAGCACTGACAATTGTGATTGCTCTATTGTCCAACATAGATTTTGTTCCATGAAATGTCATGCCTATTTTTATGGACATCACTCAAGTTGCTGGTTGAAAGAAGAATCAACAGATCGTTTAAATTATGTGGATGAAAGTTCTGCATGCAATTGTGGTGTTTCAAGAGTATCAAACCTTTTCTATAATTTTTATGGCAGGGTCAAGTTTTCATCTACAAATATGAGTAAAAATGTTGCTTACATGGATACTGCATTATCGGTCGCTTCTCCAAATTTCGAGAAATTCAATTATACTACAATTGAGAGCAATAATGCTTCAGAATCAAGAATAATTTCTCTAGATCATGCATATAAATATCTAATTGAATATTGTAATATTTTGAAGAATTTTCAAGAGAAATTTGATTATGGAATTATAAATATAAGAGGTGAATTGACATTAAATAGATGTTCAATATTAGGAGATCCTGGAAAAGGGAAATATTTATATCTTCACGACGAATTTTCTCAGATCACTATTAAAAATTCGTTCTATGATAACTTCACATCTAATAATAATAGTGCAATTGCTACAGAAAATAATAATAAGACGTCCAATTATATCCATATCAATTATTATTACGGATCTCTTTGTGATTTATATCCTTTATTATTCAATAATCAGGATATGAACATTAAAAACAAAATCAATTTCACTTTTGTAGAAATGACATCATTGGTGAATCATTTGTTATATTGATATAATAAAACGTTCCTTATGAGAGATGTCTTGAAACTTTTACTATTGAGGGGCTGAACAGCAGCATTATCATTGATAATAGATTAATTCTTGCGTAGATGCATCTATCATTATCATAAAATAATTAGAGATAAATAAAAGTTATATCTAGAAAAGATCATTTTTGGGTCAAATGATCATATTTTGAAAGCTGAGTCAACCAAGTATATATATGATTCAGTTCAGATCAATATACTTTAAAGAAAAACCATTTAAATTTTCTCTTTTTAGGGGAAAAAGATAGAAATAATTATAATAAAAATATATAATATACTTTATTCTAAATATAAAAATTATTTTCCGAACTTGGGAATCCAAACATTCCTTCGTAGTTTTGGTTCTGTTGCTGTTGTTGTTGAACTTGTTGTTGCTGAGAAAATTGACTTTGTTGTTGATAATTTCCTTGTTGATTATATTGATTTTGTTGCTGAGAGGGATATTGTTGTTGTGAAAATTGTTGTTGGTAGGAATAGTTTTGTTGATTGAATCCAAAATCAAATCGTGCTGGTTGATATTGATTTTGTTGGAAATTAAACTGGTTAACGTTGATTTGATTATAATAGTTTTGAGATGCTTGATCTAATGGAGCTTTAGGTAAATCAATGAATTTGTTAAAAAATTCATTTTCATCATTACTTTTTCCTTCACCAAATTTAGTCTTCAAAAGGTCAAAGAAAAATGAGAAATTCAAAGGACAATTTGGTAATTTCCTTGCGAATTCTAATCCTCCATAAATTCGTCTCAAATTATCCGGAACTCTTTCTTTACGATGTTCTTGATAAAATGAATTCAAAACAAAATAAAACTTCTTACAAATTGTCGTCAAATATTCCCAATTTGTTTCATTTGGTAAATCAATATCTTTTTCTAAAGAATAGATGCAATTTCCAAAATTAAATTCAAAACGAGGCGAAACAGGTTTTATGATGTCTCCTTTCATGATTCCAATTGTTGTCGATGAAAGTTGAACTGTATCATTATCATTTACATCTGAATTAACAAATTCTTTTTGTTTTGTTCTGAATTTCATTTCTGTTTCTTCACAGTTATTTTGAAATTCATGAACTTGCTCGTAATCAACAATATAATCTTTAACCAAGAAATCTTGTGTCTTGAAAAGAAAGTCAATCTTCATTGGCAATCTCAATTGATACTTTGTCATTTCAAGAGCTTCAATCCTTGATTTAAACAAACCAAAAACATAATCAATTATCTGATTCTTCGTTTTCATTTCATTCAATCTTGGATTCGCGTGATGAATGAAATTCAAAAGATGTTTAACAGCATTAAAAACATCTTCAAATGAAAGAAGATTAAGAATTTCTTTGACATATCTTATGTCTTCAGATAAAGGAACCCAAACATTATTCCATAATTCACTAGTTTCATTAGGATTATATGGTTCGTCACATAATCTTGAAACCAAAATTTTCGTTGTGTTTTTGTCATAATTCGATGGCATGACAACTTTAGATTTATTGTCATTTGTTATACAGAAATAACAAAAATTAGTAACATTATCAGGGAAAATGTTTTTGAACTTGAAATCAATATATGTTTCAATATTCTTTTCTCTAAATGATATCCAATTATAACAATAAGGACTAATAACAATGAACTTGTATTCAGGAATACGAACATATTTGTTCGCAGCAAAAATATACCATTTCTTTGTTTTCTCAACAAAATATTGTATTGTTGTTTCATTTAATCTTTCATCTGACCATTTAGCGCATACTTGGTCTCCTTTGATATCAAATGATATAATTGCTGGAACTGCTTTAACAGTATATCTCTTTAAAACTGTTTTCGTTAATTTAGAAGATAAAACAAATTCAATTTCTACTGTTTTCGTAGTATATTTGTTCAACAACAAATCAATATAAAAGAGATAATCTTTTCTTGAAAAATTCTTGATAAACAACAAATCTTTGTCATTTTTGATATTAATGTCTACTTGAAGATCAGCTTTATCATCTTCAAAGAAAGTATTGATATAAAAATAATGTCTGAAACCAAGATTTCCAACAAAAATAGTATCAGGAGTAACAAATTTCTTTTGCAAAAAATCATAATAATAGAAATAAATTGGGCGTTTGAAAACATCGTATTCCATCAAAAAATTAGAATACAATTGGTAAAATGATAAATGAACAGTCATAAAATCAAGTTTTGATTCTGGAAAAACTAAACTTTCTTTGGATTTTTCATCATAAACTATTGAATTTTGATTTGAACCACTGATGATTTTGTGTTCAATTTTTTGGAACAAAGAATTATATGTTTCAACTTTGATTGGTGTTTCAGACAAAATTAGTTTCTTGATTAGTTTTGGACAGTTGTGTTGACTATCAGGAATTATTGATTCTCCTTTGATTTGGATGTAAACAAAATCTTGTAGTTTCGTCAAAATAAAAAGGAAAGGAAATATATTGTTATTGACAATCAATGTTCCATTTAATTGTGATGTTCCTATTGGTAAAAACTGTGTAAGTATTGTTAAAACAATGAAATTATTTTGTTGAGAAACAGAAATTTGGAATTGTGTTTCTAATTTTACGTTTAAATTATTTAGATCTGTTTTGATTTTGATGTTCAATGGAGAAACTTGGAATGATGTAAATTCAGGGAATTTAATCATGATTTGACTGAAATTACTAACTAATTTTCCTTCGATTTCTGTAATGAAAAGTGTATGATCATTCAAAACTTCAAAATTAATTGGATTCATCTCCAATTTTACATTACTTCCAACATATGGTTTAAATTCTTGTTTGGAAACATTTGATGAACTTGTCCCAACATAAGGCTTGTAATTCTGATTTGAAACTTGATTTAATGTATTTGCTTCATTCATTTGATTCATTGTATTTGTTCCAATATTTGGTTCGTAATTCTGACTTGATGAATTTGTTTCATTCATTTGACTTGATCCAATATATAGTTTATAAGATTGATTGGATACATCTGATGTAGGATCTTGTTTTATTGATTGTGTTGGAGTATTAGATGATCCAATATATGGTTTATAAGATTGATTTAATTGATTTGTTTCATTCTGTTGATTTGTTCCAATAAATGATTTGTAGTTTTGATTTGATGAAGTAATTTGTTTGTTTTCTTGATTTATTGCATTACTTTGATTTGCTGCTACATATGGTTTGCAAGTTTGTTGATTAGAAACAAGATATTGATTTGGAACTTGAGATATAGTATTGGATTGTTTTGATGAATTTGTTTCATTATTTTGTTTAATTTCTTGGTTTGGAACATATGGTTTATAATTTTGTTTTTCTTGATTTGGATTTGAATTTGGAGTTGTTGTTCCAATGTATGGTTTGAAATCCATTTTCTGATCCTTTTTATTTTGAGTTTCAGTTTCGATTGGTTTCTGTGTTTTGATGATTTCGTTACAAACAGATTTTAATTTATCAAATGAAACAGTTGGTAATTTTGTTGCATTTGATAAGTATTTGATTGTTACAACTTCTGGAGTTCCTCTAGTTATTTCGTATTTATCATATTCATCAAGATTCTTTATCTGGAACAAAAAGAAATCATTACTTTTCTTGAATTCGAAGAATTTTCTTGAATATTTGTTCAAAACTTTCAATGTAACAGATTTAACGAAAAGTAAAGAACATTCTTTTGTTTCTCCTTCATAAACCAAATGTTTTGATACATCTTTCATCAAATTAAAGAATTCTTCCTTGACATATGGTACATGATTCATATCAATGCTAGTTTTCTCTAAAACTTTTGGTAAATAATCCATAAACGAAACAAACAAATCAGAAAATTCTTTCTTTAAATCAACAGATGAATTTAAACTCGAATTTGTGTTTGTAATTGAATTTGAATTTGTGTTTGTAATTGTGTTTGTTTTTGATGGAATATATACAGCAAATTTTTGTTTTTCTAGTTTCTTCTGTTGTTTTTTAGAAAGTTTTTCTTCAACAATTTCATTTTTGGAAGTTTTTTCTTCAGCCAATGTATTATTCACAGGTTTTACAAGATTTTCTTGTTTCTTTTTAGAAATTTCACTTTTTTCAACAACTTCATTCTTAACTTTTTCTTGAACTTTGGAAGTTTTTTCTTCATTCAATTTATTATTTCCTTGTTTCTTTTTAGAAATTTTATTCTTTTCTTTTTCTTGTTTTTTAGAAATTTCATCATGTTTTTGAAGATTTTTATTAATTTTTTCTTCAACAAATTCAATTGTTTCTTGTTTCATTTTAGAGATTTCGAGTTTTTCTTCTTGTTGTTTTTGAAGAATTTCTGGTTTCTTTTGTTGTTTTTTAGGGATTTTTTCTTCGATAAAAGTAATTTCATCTTCTTTTGGATAATTCTCTTGTTTTGTTTGATTTTCTTGTTTTGGATTGATGAAATTAATAAAAATACAAGCAAAAGGAATTCTTGTCCCATCCAAATATGCAAATTGTCTGATGCTTTGATCAATTAATTCATAAGGAAGATAAAGAGACAAAATTTGTTGAATTTCTTTTGAATTTACATTAAATCTTGGAATTTTTTGATTGTTATCCAAATCATTACAAAACTTCTTCAGTTTAGGCAAATCAGGAATGAAAGCACTAGTCAATACTCTTGTAAGGAACTCGTAATAATCAGTACATGATGTTAATTTGATTGGTAATCTGTCATTCTTTCGAATAAAAGGAAATTGTTTGTCAACAAATTCATAAAACAATTTCGGATCAATTTTTGGAATTTTTATCTCTAAATTCGCTTGGAAATTACTCAATAATTCTTTCAAAACATTAGACATTTCTTTGTTATGATTGTTAATAAGTTTTGTAAAGTTGTCAGGTGTCAAAATGTCAAATTTTCTTGAAATTTTTGACAAAAGTTGTAAAGTTGCATTTCTTTGAATTAAATCATAAGTTTCTCTATTATTTCTCAAGATTTCTTCAATGTATTTATCACAACCATCAACGAAAAGGAACAAATCATAGAGATAAATTGTTCTTCCTTCTTTTGATTTATCAATTAAATACATGACATAAGAATAATTAACAATATCAATTAAATAAGATGGACTATATTCACTGCTATTAATCATGTTTGGTTTAATAAATAAATCTGGATTGATTTTGTCTAAATATAAAAAATCAATTGAATAAAGCATCCTTGTTTTGTATTCTAAGTACCATTTAATGATGTGTATGACATAATATTTCGAAATATGCTCATATCCTTCTAATAAACTATCATCTTTTTCAATTAATTTTATAATATAATTTAAATCAGTTGTTTTTTCTTTAATTGAGGTAGAATAGACGATATTAAACACATCGATGAAAAACTTGATATTGTGCATATGTAAAAATTGAATTTCTTCCGTAATTTTAGATATGAAATCAGAAATTGGATTTGTAAGTTGTTTCGGTAAAGGTTTCTGGTAAAATATAGTCCAGGCAATGATATTATAAACATTGTCATCCATGGATCGTAGTTTTGTTGTGTCATTGACTAAATTTTGAAGTGAATCTTCAATTTTGAATTCATTCATGATTTCATTAAGAAATTGAACTGGACTGACAGTTTTTGGATAATGGTTATTGTTTGTATCCTTAGTAATATAGCCGTAAATGTCGTTTTCTTTAATTATTAAAATTATTTCGCGAGATGAAAATGCGTTTCTAAGACTAGTGTTCGAGGTTAATGATAATTTGTATCCGTTGTTCTGTAGCCGAACGAATAATTTATAAAACTCGTTTAATACTGTATCTTCAGCAAATGGAGAGAAATCAAAAGTATAGCTTGTGAGAATTATATCGAGTTGCTGATAAAGAGTTGGTGCTTTAATGAGATCATCGATGAATGAATAGGTGTCAAAAGGAATCGAATAATTCATTGTTTTTAAGTAATTATATAAAACCAACTTAGTTTTCGGATTTAATTGAAGATTTGGGCATTCACATATATTGTATATTGCTGATAACTGTGGAAATGAGTTGATATATTTTTTGATATTGTCAATCAAAATCTTATACCTACTCGGCACGATTATATTTGTTTCAAGCATGTTCACTAGAGTGGATTCAGCTTCTTGAACAGCCGAGTAAAGCATGTGAAGTAAGGAATTCTTATTGAATAAAAGTGACAAAAAAATTTCCGATCATTCAAAATGATAAGATTTTGGATTTTTAATAATGAACTCCATGAATGCAATAAAAAATTCTTTGAATAAGAAATGAATCCAATTTAGAAATGAAGAATGTTGTAAAGAAAAGAAGAACGAAGTAGTTATTAACATTTGCTCCGTTTTCAACAAGAAGTTTAACTAATTCTAATGAATTCTTATCAATTGCCATTGAAAGAGGGCATTTAAAAATCAAAGGTAAATCTCATTTGAAATAAAAGAATATAATGATCTCAGGTAGAATTCCTTAAGGAAATATAAAACGCCATGGAATAAAAATAAATTAAATGATTTGATATAAAATGTCATTATTAGATAATGAATACTTTATGCTTAAAATGAATTTCATAAATATAAATTGAATGTAATTGGATTTTAAAGAATTCATGATATAATGAAAGATTTCTAAAAATTAATGAAGAATTAGAATGATATTTACATCTGCTCCATGTTCAATAAGATATTGTGCAATATCTATTGATCCGTTTTCAATTGCAATAGATAAAGGACATTTTTCATAAAATAATATTGAATTGCATTAAAATAATGTGAATTCCTTCTAAATAAAATGAATTCCATTTACACAAAGTGAATATAATGATTTGATAAAGAATATTACAATAAAATAAAGAATTCCTTCATAAATTAGAAATAGAATATCTTAAAATTATAACGAATGAAATGATTTTAGAATGAATTAGGTGAATACAACATGAATGTTATTCAATTAAGATGAACCTGATGAATTATTGATTAAAATGATAAAATTAATTTGAATTCCATAAAAATTCAAAGAATTAAGACTGCATTAACATCGACACCATGTTCAACAAGGACTTTTACGATATCCATTGAACGATTTTCAACTGCAATCGATAATGAACTGTTATGAATATTAAAATTGAATTGTATGAGAGAATATTTAGAATTTCATGGAAATATAAAGAATAAAATGAGATTTATAAAGAATTCCATGATGAGAATGAAAATATCATTAACAATTATAAAGAATACAAGAAATTAAAATTGAATCTGATGAAAAAGAAGTAAAATTAACATAATATCAGCGTCAGCACCTTTATCAATGAGATATTTAACAATATCAAGGTACTTGTTCTGGATAGCAACAATAAGAGCGCATTTCTTATGAATAAATAAAAAGAATTCTATGAAAAAGAAGTTGAATCCAATGAGTTTGGAATAATGAACATAATGAATTCAAAATAGAACTCCATGAATAAAAATAATGAACTGGATAATGAGTTTTAAAAAGAATTTCTACAAATTTTCCATAAATTGCAAAAAGAACAAATGTGAAATTAACATCACCACCATTTTCAGCCAAGTACTTAACTAATTCGATAGAGCATAAGTCAACAGCACACATGATTGGATTAGTTTCATTGAATGTTTTATATCTTGACCAGAAAATTTGATTGGCATCAAAACCATTTTCAATGAAGAAAATTGCAGCTGTGAAATTGCATCACATCAAGCATTCTGCAACTGTTAAAGCAGTGAAATCATAATGAGTGATGATCCAATCAACAATGTCGTTATGATGATTGATAACAGCGATTCTTATACAGTCACCAAATTTACAATCTTTTTGTCTAAGGAGAGAAATGATTTCAGAAGAACCTCCTTCAACAGCATACTTAGGAAGAGTATCATCTATTTTGCCTCCATTCATCAATAAGTATCTAAAGATATCAACAGATCCATATTTGCATGCACATTCGATGAGTGATAAATCGATGTTTGTCTGATTGACATCAAAAGGAGATTTTGAAATAAACTCTTTGAATTCTTCAAGTCTATCATAGGCAACTAGGTTGAATAATTGATCATCTTCATATATTTTTTTAGATCTGTTTTCTGGTGGAACTAAAGGAGGTGTCCAAATAATTGGTGAATCATATCTAATGGAAATCTTGGAATAAAGATCTGAAAGGAGATTCACATGCTTTGGATTCTTTGTGCTTGCACGATAAATCGTTTTTAATACGAAATCCAATGAAACTTTTTTGTTATCAATCAATTCAATTAATTTTATTTCTGTTTCTTCATCAAGTTGGCTCCAAATAAATGTTGCAGCGTCTTCATAAGGTTGAAGGCTTTCTGGAAGTGTTATGTCACTTAGTTGTTGCACTTTCATATTGTCATAAACAAGATGAGGAAGGTTTGTATTCATCAAAAAGAACTGCTTTTTTTTATTTAAAAATTGACATGATTTTATTTATTGATATTTAAGATCTATAGAGTATTATTAGATAAATTTTGATGTCAAACTATCGACCAAACATGATCTCAAAAAATGAAATTTTTCATCACTTTGAAAAGTTGATATTTCATATAGGAAGCTTGTTTTTATCAAAAATAAATACAGTACTTTGCGAATTAATTGAAAGTTTATAATGAGCCAATGAAATCAATTGACAAACTAACCAGAACATCAATTTTATGGTCACTACTGAAATTGAAAGGTGTATAAAATCAAAATGGCCAACTGTGCCATTAACTCTCGAATGAAAATGAAAAGTCTAAATTATTCGGCGTTTATAATTGAAGTTATACGAATAATCGATCTTAAATACAATAAGCTGGCAACGAGTATATAAATCATTAGGACTTTAGAGAATATGAATCAAAATTGATCAAAGGTAGTAAAACTAGGGTTCCCAATTCCGATTTGCTTCTAATTTTGGCTATAGGGTCATTAGAGGATTCTAAAACAAATGGCTGATATTTTTTTGAATCTGTCTGCTGGTTTTTGAGATGTTGAAAAACGCATTGAATTTTAAGTTTGATTTTCGAAAAATTTCAAAAAAATGTCGATTTTAAAAATAATTAGCGGAGCAGAAGACTTTATGCGAATGTGAAATAGAGGATTGGTTTCGGTTTTGTCAATAGAGTATATTTATATTAGTAAACCTCCTCTGGAATGCGAAATTAGCTAAATTAAGTCCGGGTGGAGAAAGATCATATATGAAAAGTTTTAAAAAAAGTTTACGTGTCAGATTTAGCTTAGTGGAATAAACTGGTAGGCTGAAGGAATGTAGTTCGAATACCATGGTTCTAAGTTTTTTCTTTTTCACTTAGATTCATTAGATTTTTAGTTCTAGGTTGATTTTGTTAATATCTTTTCATAGAAGGAATTGCTCAGTATAGAATGTGTAATCTTTTGGCAAAATCAAAACTGAGATAAAAGTTTCGGATCAGCATTTCAATATTTATTATTGATCTTTTATCGGGGATAGGAGACATGTATTGTTGAGAAATTATTACTTTTTAAATGAATATATAAATTCCAGAAAGATTTATGAGATCCTTATAAATATTGAATAATATTTGCTTATCGAAGATATTTATTACTGGTTAATGATTATAAAGAATACATGTATTTGATGTTATTAATAAATCTCTATTAGGATAAATTTTATTTCCAATAATTAGAATATAATTTTGCTTAATTTGCTAGGATAACATTCTTTCTAAGTAAAAATGAACTTGATATTTAAGATATTAACAGGCATTGCATAATGAGTTATAAAAACATGAAAAAAATATTGGGAAGTTTTAAATTGCCTATCTTGTTCATATTTGTTATATGCAATTAACAAATTTAGCATGATATTACTAAGTACCTTCGCAAAAATCGAATTAACTGATATAATTTAAAATAATTTAAATGAAAACTGTAATTTTGCATTGCTGGCGAGAAACTGTCATATTACAACAATGTATTATAGCATTCATTCGAAGCAAAGTCATTCCCAGCGTTAATAGAGAAGAATTCTTTCAATTTTCTTGAAAAATAAAACATATTCAAATTTAATTGAAAAAAGAAAAAAACCAAAGATGTAATTATTCTATACATGGGCAAATGGCGGGTTATTTGCCCGCCACACTCAATTTGAACGATAGATGGCGGGATATAGGTGGCGGGAGGGGAAAAATTGCCCTTAAAAAATGTATAAAATTTTCTATATTTTTTTGTTTTTTTGAATTTTTTTGAATAGTTTACTATCATTTCATCATGATATTAAACGAGAAACTGTTGTAAACAGAAATTCATCAAAAGTGACACCTCAGAAAAGCTAAAATATTGAATTTTTGGAACTTTTGATAGAGCACGTTTTTAAATATTAATTAAAGTAAGGGTTTCGTTTTGCTAAAATTGTCACTTTTATAGCATATTTGTTTTTGGATGTTTTGCGAAACCAAAAAAAAACTATGATATACAATGTGTGTGTAAAGAAAATACTTTATTTACTAGTTAAAAAATCATTTGGTATTGATCAAGTTATTTTTTCTGTATAAGATATTATATGGATAATTGGATAGAAAATACAATTATATAATCTTGTACCTGGTTTAATTAAGCTAATTGTCATCAGAAACTTGTAATTTTTATGAATTTCAGATTTTCTTTTCATTACTGCTTTTCTTAATAGGTCAAGTTCTTATTTACGTTATAAAGTATGATATTTACAAATATCAAGTTATCATGTTTTTTGAGAAATTATGAGAAACAAACAAAAATGAAAAAGATAGGAATAGCAATGAATAGTGATGTGGGCATAGAAAATGTAAGAGATATGAATGCAAAGCAATCAGTATTTAGGACATTGACCATAGATTTCGAAAAAAAAATGCTGCATATTGAGCGAAAACTATGATTATATTATAAGGCTGTCATTTAAAGCATAATGAAACTATTCCCTTTTCATTTTAATCGAATAAGATAGTAAAGATTTTTGAATTAGCTAGAAACTGATGAGATGTTTTCACAAATCAGATTTTTAATCTCCATAATGCATAATTCACTCAATATCTCAATTTTGATATTGCGAGATATTTTTGCTATCGGTTTAGCAATTTTGACACAATAGCAAGAGGGTTCTATAAGCATTATTATCAACGTAGAATCTGAATATCATATCAGAAAATGTCGCAAATCTGACATTTACCCGACCAAATAGCAAAAATACTTGAATACTTTTCGCAAAAACTTTAAAAATCGATAAAAATATGAAATATAGATATTAAAGAGACTTTTTATATAATATTCATAAAGATTTTCCAAAAATATGATACCGCAAAATTAAAAAAGTGACGTCTTGAGTGGAGTCAAAGGTCGAAATTGCTAGCTAATTTTTTTTTAGCGAAATTGCGTATTGTACGTTTTTTTTCGCAAAGCGAAACCCTTAATTAAAGTAAATGTATATTTTGTAAAGATTCTTTTTAATAAAAAAAAAATAAAATTTTGAAGAAGAACACAAAATCTTCTGAAAAATAATATCACATAAACTCATATTATTTTCTAATATATAACTATTTTATATAAAAATCAAATTCAATGATCTTAAAAGCGAAGGATAAACCTCAAAATTTACGAATATAATGAGTGGGAATATAACGCTTATCTATCATAAAACCATATGAAATATCAATTTTTGCTTTACGCCTAATTTTTGACGACAATTAGCAAAAAATGTTAAATTAGGGTTGTTAGATTCCCGACGATAGGTGTCTTGGAAGATTTGCCTGGTGTCATCATAGTGTCTTTAAATCAAAAATTTTATTTTGGAGTTAGTTTTATTGATTTTTCAATAAAAAACATTTCTAAAACAAGAAAATAAAACGATAAAATATTTATATTTTATATAAGGATCTTATATATTTAAAATAAATATCATTTTATTTTTTTCATTGGTGTCTGTCAAACCATAATACACTATTCAAAAATTCAATGTGTCTTGCGGTTTCAAAAGACACCTGCAAATTGAACGATAGCACAGACACTATTGAATTTTACCCATTGTATTTAGTTTTTACCCTTTTTATTTTTAAGAATTAATGACTGAAACAGCCGTTTTGCTATGACCTCAATCACTTTTATTTATTATTTTAAATATTATTTAATTTTATTATTTGAATAGGCCAACTTATATTTGAGAAGCTCAATTTGAGACCACTTAATACATTGAAATATCATAAATATTGAAATATTAAAAAGTGTATTTCAAAATATTGAAATTATAAAAATTTATAATACTGAAATTGAGACAAATTAATAAATTCAATGTGTTTTTTTTTGAAATAACTCTCAAATATTATTTATTTGTTTATTTAATGATGAATAAATATGATTGCTTTAGTCAATCATAAAAACTAATTTAAGTTTAAAATAATGAAAGGATAATTTGATCGTTTTTTAAAATACAATTATTTTTGATGATTTGCAAGAATCTTTGAAAAGAATATAATATAGGTTCTATTTTTGTAAAATTTATCCAAATCATGTATTACATAAATTACGATTAAAACAATGAAAGAACCAAAAAGTGTGTTTTGTGTTTTGTTGTTGCGTGTTGGATGCGGGATCCTGTTATTTCCGAAATCGACAAAAAATTTGGAAATTTAATTTCCGAAATCGAAATTATATTAATGTTTTTAATATTCTTATATCAAAAGGATTAAAGTTCATTAAGAGAAAAACAATTCTTCTTCTTCAATCTATTGGCGCATTTATTTCTACACGCCAATAAGGAAGGGAAAATTATAAGACACCATGGTGTCTTCAAAACGCTAATTTTTGATATTTTTAACAACCCTATGTTAAATGTTAACACTCAGTCCATTTGAATATGAAAAATAAAATTGACTTTGATTAAATGTTTTTATTTATCATGCAATTCTTTTGGGCTTCTACTTCGATATACCATTGGAGGATAGGCTCCGCCAAATGGCGGTCGTTGACCACTTTGAACAAACTTTCGATTTTTCTATCAAATTCACATTTCCATCAAAAGATTAGCTATAATTCATGATTTATCGTATTTATGTAGAATCTAGTCAAACCTATCATTAATATATGAGCGATAATTATTTATCAATATCGAATTGTATTATCTTAGAAATTTCTCTATAGTAACTATAAACATAACTAAATTGGGGGTATCTGACTTACAAAAACTAGATAGATATCAAAAATAAATCAAAATTTTATTTTTCATCAATTAGAAAAGATTTATAAGCCTTATGAGTACTCGAAAGTAACTTGAGGAGCTTTCATTTGTATTTGGGTTCGATTACATCATATTTCTTTCTATGTTCGGGTAGAAAATAATCTGATTATTTTTTTGTTTGGATTATTGCAAGCACAATGTAGGGATAATACTGTGCTCC